GGTCCTGCACAGACTTGTGGGTAGAACTTCACAGGGACACTGGTACATAACCGGTCCTGCACAGACTTGTGGGTAGAACTTCACAGGGACACTGGCACCTTATCCGTCCCGTACAGACTTGTGGGTAGATTTTTACAGGGATACTGGTACCTAATCCGTCGCGCACAGACTCGTGGAACAGAACTTCACAGGGACACTGGTACCTAATCCGTCCCGCACACACTAGTGGAACAGAACTTCACAGGGACACTGGTACCTAATCCGTCCCGCACAGACTCGTGGGACAGAACTTCACAGGAAAGATTATTTACCAATTATTCGCTGAAGGCGAAATGAATATCGTTTATTAATAACCGAAACGAAATTGAGGTTATTATTCCCGATATTCACTGAGCCTGAGGTGAATAATTGTTTTAGTATAAATACACAGGTGATTCTTTCAAAAAAAGAAAAAACAAAGATTTTGCTTATCGCTGGAGGTGACTATTTATCGTGTCGGATAATCTGAGTTTCTCGACCAATCAGCGCGCGAGATTTTCAATAATCACCTGTGTATTTATACTAAAGTCACATAATGTTGGGATATGACACAAATCTTCTCGATTCGAACTAACTGTTTAGCAGCAGCATCGGGTCATAAACATGACAACGATCTAGAACTTGATAGAAATCATCCTAATAAAGTACATTGGGGTGGGGTGGGGGCCCGAATTCCTATAATTAACATTCTATATCGAATCATAAGATCTCTTGCTTTAACAAACATCCTGGTAAATATATCAGTACAGATTCTGGCTTGGAGCCAAGTCTGGCTTAGTCATCACTTCCGTCGGGATGCACGAAAATTCTAGTAACTGAAAAAAAAAAAGATAAGTAGCTAGATTCTATTCTACTACTAATATTACTAACCATCTATATCATAATAACACATTATTTATCCATTATGGATTAATAGTTATGAATTAATGGTTAATTAGTCTAAACGTTAACTAACTTCCACTTTCCAAAACAAAGCGAGTTCATTTCCGGTTCAAAATAAAAAAAGCAGCTTTTTGTTTGTGAATAAAACAACTATTTTGATTAGGTTTCTTTTTCGAACTCTCACGAGTTGTTCTACTTTAGAATCAGCAACACATTAATGCATAAGTCAGTTCTCTATCTATTTGTTTAGTCGCCTATCGTTGTCTTGCATGTCTCAGTCTTTTAATCCACAGTTGAATCCCATTGGTTTACAAGCACAGGCATGTTTCCTCACCAGCAGCAGTAATCGCCAACTTTCTTGGCTTCGCATCACTTCCGTTGTTAAAAAAGACACAGATGATTTGACCTTACTGTCGTTTGCTGAAGCGTTTCCTTTATCCATTCTCCTGCCTCTATCACTGGTCAAGACACCCAACACAAGCGTTAGTTTCACTTATGATGCGTTGTGCAAAACCGTCATATTTCACTTTCATTCAGAAGTAGCAAGTTGGGGAGGAAGGCCCTGCTGAAGGAGAAATTCCTCTTTTGACAGCCATGAAAACGATTGCTGTTCTGTTGAAAATGAAGGAGATTACGGTGTGTTTGTTGTTGATTCTATCCATAGTTGTTTCACAGTCAAGCAATTCAAATGGTAAGTAATATTTACATAATATTTCTCTTGTCAGCTATTGCTTTATTTGGTACACGCTATCAATAGGATCCACTCTCGTCCACTAGGTGATTTAAACATTCATATTCTGCTCACATGTCATAAGATCAGAGGTCTAGTATTGTAAGAAAGGTTAATCGGGAATCGATGCCTGTGAATAACATTCGTTGATGACAGTAGTATAGGGCTGATTTACATGTATCATGATATATCAACACATACAATATTTGTGATCTGGAAGCTACTGATGCTCATACTTGATATACATATGTAGCTATTATGAGCCTCATGATCATTCTTAACAACAGAACTATGAATAAAACTCAAAAAACTCGTTCATCAACATGAATTTAATTTTTTCAATTAGCCTTTTTGGCTAGATTTTTTTTTGACCGAGTGTTTTAGATATCTATGGAAGAAAAGATTCACAACTGAAGCGAATCATTTCTCTTTCGATACCTCAATCGAAACTTGAAACATCTTCACCTTTCATCGTTTCTTCTGTTTGCAAATATTTAAGAGTGAACAACCTGTTTGTATAACTATATCTTTATACAACCTTAGAATCTGTTAATGAACACCAACCCCAGGTTATTGCGTTTGATAAGTTCGTTACCCGATTCATTCCATTCTCCAGGTTAGGTGGGTTAGTAGGCTTGCTAGGACACCATAAATATTACTAAAACCACTCTGATTATGTAATTAATGTATTAACAAATCATATATATTTCTTACAGTAAGCAACACAATTAATGCACAGTTTACTAGTTCAGTCATCGGTCAAGTGGGAGTGACCACCACTGCCGCTGCTGCTGAAGACAAAAGGAAATCAATTTCCTCCTCGGTTGAATATTCTACGAGCACTATGACAGTGACATCATCTTCACCTATGGATCTGGTCTCTACATCGTCTTCTCTATCAGATTTCTCTGTTAAAACCTCGACTAGCACTCCTGGGTTGGATACCACGGTATTGCGCATGACAAGCACTGCCGACCCATCAGCGCCCACAACACTGACTCAAGCGATGACGTCTGCTGCAGCAAATAAAACCATTACATCTGCAATGTCAAGTGTTGAAGCAACAAAAGCAACGCAAGTAGTGACTTCTTCCTCAGTAAATGAAAGCAATAAAACTGATAAGTCAACAACGACACCACTAAGCGTAACGTCTGAAAGTGAAAGCGTTACACCTGTCATGTCACGTACAGCCACGAAAACAACCCAATACGTGACGTCTACCCCAGAAAGTAAAAGAGTCACACCTGTCGTGTCATATACTGCCACGAAAACAACCCATTACGTGACGTCTACCCCAGAAAGTAAAAGAGTCACACCTGTCGTGTCACCTACTGCCACGAAAACAACCCATTACGTGACGTCTACCCCAGAAAGTAAAAGAGTCACACCTGTCATGTCACATATAGTTACAAGTGCAACCAAGAGTACAGCTCAAAGTGAAACGTTCGTACCAGCAAGTGAAAGTGTCACAGTTGTCGTTTCGAATGAAACATCAAAGACAACTGAAAGCGTGACTTCGAAAGCCATCACATTCAGCGTAGCATCAAGTTTTATAAGCACTTTCGTTACTACATTTCAAAGAGCCACTGAAATTCCAAGTAGATTTACAGTCAGCATTAACGCAAACGTGACAGACGTGCCAAGCGTGACGGTAACGACATCTACAACAGCTATTCCAGTTACTTCAACTTTGGCTCCAAACAAAAGTGTCACAACTTCATATTCTGTAAGTGAAGCAATTTCCAGACCATCAGTTACCAAGACAACTGATATTACGAGCAGTGTTGCCATAGTAACAAGCGTTACCCATTCTAGTACCGTTGCTACTTCGACCCAGCCTCCCACCACAATTCCAAGCACCACTACTAAACCGACTACTAAACCACAAGGTACGTCACTAACAAAACTAGTATTTGATTATTCAATAAATGAATTACTTTGTTATTATTTTAATATCCTCTTGTTTCTTGAATGTAGTGGCTCCCGAGTTTAAAACACCTCCACCAAATAATAAGACTGTCAAAGAAGGAGAAACATTGGTGTTGACATGCACAGCCACAGGAACCCCAACACCAGTTATTACTTGGAAAAAAGAAAAAATTAAACTGCAAAATACGAGTAGCATTGTCATTAGTTGGGATAAGTCAAAGATAAAAATATTAAGAACTACAAGAGAAGATGAGGGAACATATCAATGTAATGCTTCGAATGGTGTTGGACGAGGAGTGGAAGCAGGAACTAAAGTCAAGATTTCATGTAAGTAACACTTCTATACTTATTTCAATAAAATTAGTCACCTGAAAAGCCGACAAGGATTATTGGTAGATACATTTTACATGTTTCAACTGTTTGATAACTGTTGATGGACTTGCACATCTTTTACCAGTTACAGTCTCACCTCTCCTGAGCATCCTCAAGCTGCAGTTTGTATCAAAAAAGCTTTACTTGTTTGATACGAAAAGTTTCCCATGATCCTCAGTGATCTCAGCTTTCTACGTTTTTGGTGACTAACTTTATTGAAATAAGTATATATCATTATTATTACATTGAGGAATGATGTCTGCGATCATCTTGACAGTAAGTCATCTCTTTTTGAAGATTTTTCAGGTTTGCAAGTTAAGATTACTGAGCCAGACGCTCATCAGTCTATCAGGGAGGGAGTCGACGTCATACTTACTTGCTCAGTGGACGCATATCCCCGTCCATTTTTCACGTGGAAGAAAGACGACAAAGAAGATGGCGTTGAATTAGGAAGTAGGCAGGATTCCAATGGTTCAAGGCGCTTCTCTGATCTTTATCTTCCAAACATCAGCCGCAAGAATGGAGGAAACTACACGTGCTTGGCTTATACGGGAACGGATTTGTTGGGAAACGCCAATAAAATGCTGAATGTAGAGTGTAAGTATACGTATATTTATAGTAATGAATACTGATATTGTTGGAGTTTGAGAGAGAATAGAGACATCAAACCATCAGCTGCATTGTTTAGAGCAGGAAGATATTCTCGTTTTCTTGTTGTAGTATCACTTGTACCTACCTACCCACCGTCTAATGCAATGAAGACAACAGACCACACCATTACTATACATATCCACAAGATAGAATACCTTGGAAATGGCAAACGAGTCAGGTAAAAAAGATGAACCATTTTATACGCATGCATACCATGTACATGCAATGAATACTAATAATACTTCATTCATTAGTTACATACAAGTAATTGTAAAGCAGCTCAAGAATCAAACACTTCCAACGAGACAACCTTCACATCTTGAACCATCAGAACTTGGTCCATATTCAAAGAACAGAACAGAGCTGTATATTGCAGCAGTTATCTTGCTTAAAGATATAGGACGGGGACCGACAAGGTTGGTGCTGGGAGATGAAAGCATGTCTTATACTCCGACAAAGGCCAGAAGTAGGCGAAATCCTCGTGAAGGTGAGTATGGATATCTTGTACTGAATACATGGTTAGATACGATGTTCATCACTAGATAGCCAAGCGTCGATATACAAAGGTTCGACATTCAATATCCGCTTGAAGAAAATGATAAATAAAAGTACTATTATTTCTTTCAGAGCATGAACAGTATTACAATGCGCCGTTGCTTCCCGAGACATATTACACAGCATTCCAAAGGATGATGTCAAAAGACAAATACCACGAGTCACTCGGGTGGATCACAGCTACCAAGACTACTACACAATCACAGGTCGTTGATGATTCTGATCTTAGCACAATACTGTGGATCGTGTGTGTCTCTTTAATAGTGCTGATCATCCTCATCGTAGTTATGTCCGTATACATTATAAATAAGAAAAAAACACATGAGATTGACATTGATGATGGCAATTCTGGTAAGAACGCCTTTGGTAAGATGGCACGTTCATTATCCATTCACATGGCGAGACTACACGGTGAGTCACGGCTAATGATAATCTTCATGCGCACGAGTGGATTAAGATAACTAGTCTAGCATATTCCATTTTTTTCTTTTTTCTTTTATTATCCTTTTTAATGGATGTTTAAAATTATCTCTTGTCAAAGTGTCTAACATAGCGAGATAAGACTTTTCAAAATGCATCCCACACGGAAAGGAGTGACCTTGGATACTTAGTCACAGAGACGCAAACGAAATATCGGGTCTGCTGGTCATAGCAAGGGGTTAGTCATCTACGGTCTAGGGACCGACTAACCTCTCCCTTAGGCTTCTGCTGAGCTTCCTGACCAGTCTGTAAATCCAGGGATAGCGTAAATCCGGCGTAGCCGTAAATGCTTCGCGCTGCCATACTGCGCTTCAGCACAGGGTCTGGAGGTATGGTCCTTAATTTCTTGATAAAAAACATTAAAAAAACAGTGTTCCAGAACTAGGTGAACTTGAGGCTCCTAGTATTGTTAGATCTCACGCTATTTTTGTTCCAGAGCATTATCATCCTTCTGGACCGATTCCAGTCGAGAATTTCGCTCATCACGTGGCTCGGATGCATAAAAGTGGAGACATGCACTTCTCGACAGAGTATGAGAGAATCCCTGAATATGACAGTATCCCAGCCACCCACAGTATCGATCCTGCCAACCAATGGAAGAACAGATACTCCAACATTGTAGCTTATGATTATAATCGAGTGAAGCTCATTCCTTATGATGACGAACCCGCATCAGACTACATCAATGCCAGTTATATTACTGGTTACAACAACGAGAACACTTACATTGCAGCACAAGGACCCTTAGATGAAACGTGTGGTGATTTCTGGCGTATGATCTGGGAGCAGAATACCAGAGTGATTGTAATGGTGTGTATAAACATGTTTTATAAGTACTCCATGTGCCCAGGCTTGTGTCGAGAGTTTTTTTTCTACGAGGAGCAATTCCCAGGGAGTTATATGTTATAATGATGATCACATGAGCAAGTTTTCATGTTGAATGAATACGATATTCTCGACTTGTGTTTAGTGTTTATTTTCACCTGTGCTGTTTTATGATATACATTCATATTTATCGTGACAGCTTACCAACGTACGAGAACGTGGCCGTCTCAAATGTTCTCAATACTGGCCAACATCCGGGAAATCAAGATATGAAGTAATTTACGTATCCCTGGAAGACGTTGTCGAACTGACGTCATACACGATACGTGTGTTTCGTGTTGCAATGACGGGCCAGAAAGAAACAAGAATGATAAAACAGTTTCATTTTACCGGCTGGCCAGATCATGGAGTACCCAAAAGTGCGACTTTCCTACTGGCATTTGTTCGTCAAACAGCTAAAATGAATCCACCAGATGCTGGTCCAATGGTACGACTCTCATACTGAGTTCATATAGTAATAGTCTTCATTGAAGTAAAAAATTATTATCTATATATATTGCAGGTTGTACATTGTAGTGCTGGGGTTGGTCGTACAGGAACATTTATCGTCATTGATACAATGCTCCAACAAATCGCTCAAGAAAAAACCGTTGATATCTTAAATTGCGTAACACAGCTGAGGAAACAGAGAAACCTGATGGTCCAGACAGAACAGCAGTATATCTTTATCCACGATGCTTTGCTTGATGTGATTATCAGCGGTGACACGGAAATACATGCTAGTAATCTACGCAAACACGTGCAAGAAATGATCGAGCCTTTTAAGGAAACAGGTTAGAAGTTCAACGAGAGACTGGTAACAACCTCTTGGAGTTCCGCCATATCTAGATTATCGCCAAATTCAATCCCATAATCCAATGCATCCAATCCGAGCTTGTTATCAGTCTTTCTTTCGATTTCGGAAATTAATAAGGCTAGTTAATCAAATGCGTTTCTTATTTCATTTTAGGCGAAACAAAGATGGCCTTAGAGTTTCAAAGACTGTCACGAGGTGTGCGCCCACATTACACCATTACAGCGGCAACAACCCCCGCTAATAAAAGTAAAAACCGTTACGCGAATACTCTTCCGTATGACGACACCCGCGTCCCCCTTGTAGTCCAAACAGCGGTGAATGGGTCAGATTATGTGAACGCGAACTACATCGACGCATACATGAAAAAAAGAGCATTCATCGCCACTCAAGCTCCACTTCCTGAAACTTTTGATGACTTTTGGAGAATGATCTGGGAACAAAAATGCTATACTATCGTGGTTCTAGCACAAGAAATGGAAAATGATAAGGTGAATCAAGAAAATTCTTTTGGGATTATCAGTAATGACTTAATATTAGCTTAATATTATTTAACTTCAATTTTCAGCTTAAAATGAACCGTTATTGGCCAACAACTCATCCAATCACGTTTGGAGTACTCCAAGTAGCAATGCTAGAAGAAGAAAAGAAAGAATACCTAGAAACAAGGGTTTTTAACATCACTAACACGATGGTAAGCAATATACAGCTTCGATTATTTATATATCTACTGAAGGACAGTACTGCTATTGATCATTATCATCTATCTGTTGCAGGACAATAGTTGTCAAATAGTACACCAGTTTCACTACACCGCCTGGACATCAGAGGACCTGACCGACTCGGGAATCAACATACTCAGTATGATTGAACAAATACAGCAATGGCAGAACGCCTCGGGCAATCACGTCATCACAGTACATTGCAGGTGACTGGGGAATGGGATGGGGCTTGATTGTAAACCCACGCTGGAAAACTAAATCTATCAAGATTTATTAAAACATAAAACTAATATTGGTCTTGTTGTTTCAGTGCTGGTGTTGGTCGTACTGGCGTGTTCTGTGCTGTCAGTTCTTTGATAGAAAGACTCAAGGCTGAGGCAGTTGTAGACGTCTTTCAGACTGTCAAACAACTGAGAGAACAAAGACCAGCGATGGTACAAACCAAGGTAGGAACCAGGAATAAAGACAGACAGACAGATGGACGGACAGACAGACTTACAGGCAGCTAGATATATGGACAGACGGACGGACAGACAGATAGACTTACAGGCAGCTATACATATGGACAGACGGACGGACAGACAGACGAACGTTCAGACAGACACGAGCGTATTCACTAACACCTTCATTTTTTTGTAGTCGCAGTATGAATTCTGCTATAGAATTTTACTCGAATATCTTGATACACATACATCTCTGGAAGAATTGGATTCATCTCCAGCCCTCTCTCAGTCTTACAACACAGGAAATCCTCCAGAAAGCGAAAAAACTCAAAACGAAATTTCAGAACAAAGTTCTCTTGAGTCCGCAAAAAGCAACGGAAAGTCTAACCTTGTTGATAGTGGCATAGCATCTGATTCTTTAAGCGAAGTAAAGCAGAAAAACTCTCCAAACCACATCGTACCGTCAACTGATACATCAGAAAATTTCAAACAGAGAGATGTCACACCCGAGGATAAAGCACAGGTGAATGTCACACCTAAAAAAGAAGGCCTAGAAAATGTTTGTCTAGAAGTCACGCTCGAAAACGGAGTGTCACAACAAAATGCAACACGTGAAAATATCACACAAAAGGATATCTCGACCGAAAATAACAGGCAAAAAAGTGTGACACTTGAAGATGATGTCACGCTGGAAAATACTGCGCACGAAGGTGTGACAGAACACGAGTTCATACAAGATATCACGCCAGAAACACATCAAAAGGCTGACGATGAACCTTTGGCTAATTCACAAGCAGTTCTACGAAGAGCAGATTCAGAAGAGTCTGACCCATATGTTTCTCCTTTATCAAGTTCCTTAAACTTAAACGGCTATTGAGACGAGTGTTGAAGAAAAACTACAATATATAACACTGACAAGCTACCTCTCTCAGTATTACAAAGAAGTCAAGCATGAGAACAGGTTTATGGCTTTTCTTGCACTTTCTGGGTTTAGGCTTTAAAATGTGAACTTAAAATACATTAAGAAATATTAGTTTAACTAACCTTTTATCTTTTCATTTATGAGCAAGTTTCTTATGCTTCTTCACTGCGATATTCGAGTTTGGCTTTCACTGAAACACCGTACACTAGTAACCTCGCCTTGTTGGGTGTACAGGCTTGGCTGCTAAGTGTGAAAACGAATCATTGATGTTTGTTCTTACTGATATTTTGACATCAGAAAATCATGAATTTAATCAATATCAAGCAGTAGTTTTACATAAGTTATTCAATAGTCTAGTCTGTTTGATAAAAAGCGTAACATAGTACTAACATACTGAAGCACTGTACATAATACTATACACTGATGCAACTTCGTACTTTTATATCACGTAAACTAATTATTTGACTTGTCAAAGAATAAAACTTCAGTCCCATATTCATTGAATTTGTATGTTTTTGGAAATTATAAGTGCTTGGGCTTCCTGTGTACCATTACAGCAAGCTACCAAAATCTGCTACAGTATGAAAAGAGCATTATAATCGTTAAGAAATATCTATTTCAATGACTATATCAATAGCTGTCTTCGAGAACTACATCTGCATCTTCCGGCTTTAAAGCGCGCGAACACGACTATTCAAACTGAATATCAACCTCGTTCCCAGGGCCCTCTCACGCAGGTAGAGAAGACCCTGGCGTTGGCTGGTCACGTGACGAATCCGACACCCAGCATATTCGGGTGTTTTGAAAACACCGTTGAAGAAATAACTGGAGGAATGCGGACACATTGAATGAGCATAAATTAAATGTGGCTGTCAACTCGAATAAACCGGTTGAGTTTTTAACAGTGCTTCGTCGTGTGGAATTTGCTATAAAAACGGTAATTTTCCATCTTTGAATTTTGGATCTCTTCAAGCTTTTCTGAGATTTACACCGGCCGTAGCTACTGTTTTCGTATTATTACTTCCAGTCTTGCCTACATCTTGTTTAAATCTGTCATTATATTTCTCGCTCAGGCGTGCCATGGTGCGCCAAAAAAATCATAACAAAGCAACAACCAATCAAAATTTAGGATCAAGTAAACCAATCAAAACCTTTATTTGATCAGCCAACGCCAGGGTCTTCTCTCCTCTGCGTGAGAGGGCCCTGGGAACGAGGTTGACTGAATATGCGTATTGAACATCTTCGACAACTGCACGCAGTTATGTTAAAAAGCTGGGCGCGCCATAATCTGGCCTGAAACTGTTACAACTATTTATTCTTCAAAGTAATACATATAGGTCCGTAATTTAAGAAGACGGAAGCCGTTAAAAACAATATCTTATAATAGTTCATTAATCAGTATATATGTATAGAATTTATTGAAAACGGCGAGCTATTTGGTTTGGTATTGTTGAGATGTTAAGACCTGGTTGTTTTCTGTAACGCTAAATTCTTTCATTTCTGGTTTAATGTCGTTACAAATGGCCTTGGTGAGTTTTGCGGTCACTTTCGACAACTCTTCTCCTTTCTTCACCACAAAACAGTGATTTCCTTCTGGCTCACTAGCCATCATCTTCAGGTTTTTAATGTATTCGTGTTTTCCAAGACCAACAACAAACACTCGTTTGCCAGAGTCTTTGAGTGTTTCAGCTGAGTGTAGAAGAGAGTCTATACCAGTACTGCTACCTCCATCCGTCACCACCACTACGGCTTGAAGGACTTCTAACGAACGTAAATTGTTGTATTAGTACTCACACTACGATAATACAATCAGATTTGGCTCGTTTGTGAATGGCCAATCAAAAGCCTGTACAGTGTTTTATTCTGGTATTTGAATAGCTTAATTTACTTACCATCTATCTCAGTTTTATCTTTTGTTCCTATTTTTGCTCTAGCCCCGTTTTCAGGATTAAATAATTCCACTTGTGTTACCCTCAATGCAGAGGATAAGGACGATCCAGCACCTTCATATGGCAAGTTATCAACAGCCTTACTGAGTTCACCCAAGTCTGAAAACTGGTCAAACTTGATGGCTACCTTGTAGTAATGAGAAAAGGGTATGACTCCCACACGCGTTCCATCAGACGACACAGCAAACTGTTTGATAACATCTTGGACAAATTTCTTGATGTATTTGAAGTTTTTTTCTCCCATACTAGCTGAACGATCAATAACAAACCCTAGGTCGATTCGACGTTTGCATTTTGATGAACCTAAGTCGTAAAAAAATATTCAGAAAACAAATTAGCCGACCATGAGATATACTTATTTCAATAAAGATAGTCACCAAAAACCTAGAAAGCTGAGATCACTGAGGATCATGATAAACTTTTTATATCAGACAGGTAAAGCTTTTTTGATACAAACTGCAGTTTGAGGATGCTTAGAAGAGAATTCCACCAACAGAGTATCAAGCGGTTGATACATGTAAAATGTATCTACCCATAATCCTTGTCGGCCTCAGTTTTGAAGCTTTTCAGGTGACTAACTTTGTTGAAATAAGTACACAATACATAAGCACTAGAGTTGAGCAACACCCTTATATATAGACCTCCTAGTAATTGTTGTTATATCTTGAATCTATATTAGACTTGTTAGATCTGCAAGGAATTAGTGTGGTCATGAAATTACTTACCAAATGCGTCTCCACAAAACATAAACAATACCAAGAAAGCAGTTACTAATATTCCCTGAGCTGTACAAGACATTTCTATTGACCTACAAGGATAAAAAAAAGAATCATCATTAATAAATCATCTTCGTTGATAGAAACCACCTCATATATCCCAATATGTTTTACTTCACAAAAAGGTCAAAACTGGTGATGGAATGCTTTCTTTGTTTTTCACCAAATTGAATTTTGTTTTTAGGACTGATCTGATTTTAACCAAAACAATAAATCATGTTTTTTACGACAGTCATGCATCTATAAACAATCAGTAAAAAATCACCTTATCACTCTGTGAATTGGCCGTGCTCTGACTTAGACCACCCAAAAAGGTTAGATTTTATAGCTTTCGAATAAATAGATGATAGTTTTTAGTTTTTTCTCTCTCTTCACTGGATTATGACTCACAATATCTGCCCATATTGAATTATTTGTTTATCGTGAAATATAAATCAACCCTTAGCAAAAATAGGATTGTTGACCATTTGACGTACCTTAGTTTCTTATCCATCCATTAATAACTAATAAGACAAACTACGATGAGAAAAATAAGATCAGGGAAAGTTTGTAGACTTCCCGTTAAATAAATGACAACAAACAAAAAGCGGCTTGTGGTTCTGAACGCTGATTGGTCAGTCATGACACTCCTCGGCAGGTGACTAAATCATTAAATTTGACGGAAATTAACCTCAGTAAAAATAACTATTTATCTTGCTATGGTGTATTTTTAAAAAGGACTTTTTACCTAATTTTATTGGAAAGCTATAAAATAACTAGAGAGGTTGAAATAAAATCAACGGTTACCCGTAGAAACCTCCGAGCAAAAAACTCAAGTTTTTCCTTTTGTTAAAGTTGTCTGTTGAGTAAAATTTAAAATGTTAGTGCACCCACACGCGCTATTAAATGCACCTATCATGCTAGTCATTCGACTACGTGCCTGTTCGTTTATCAGTGAACATCGAGTATTGTCATGAACGTGTAGCTGGTGTATTCAACTCATCATGTCAACTAATTCCCTTCATCATTAGTAACATTGCTGGCTTGAACGTCGGAAGCACTAGTGGGACTTGTGGGAAGCAAGAAACGTGTGCGCTAGTAGTACGTCGACCCTCACCAATGAGGTGTCGATGTTCACATATGAGTATTGCTGTTTAATTTTTGTTGGTTTTCTCCTGTGTTTCGGGGTTTTTTCTCGGGATTCTCCAGTTTTCCTCTCTCCGCAAAAATCATCTTCTAAATTCCAAATCGATCTTAGGAGATACTCTCCATAGAATTAACCTCTTATATCTCCTTTCTGACTATAATAATGCGAAAAAATAATAATAAGCGTCATCTATACGTGTATACCTGATATATAGCACGCGTATAATAATCTAGATGGCTAGTTAGAGCACCTATATTCTACATCAATAAAAATAAGTTATATTGCGAGGATACGAATTCTAATACTCTGTATGACATCAGTAAGTTGTGTTTTGGCACCAGGAAACTTGTCCACACTTAAGCTGAAATATTCACTCACGTACGGTGCTCTTTTTTATTTCAGTATTGTTCCTTCTTTTGTTTTCTTTTTTCGATTTCTTTTCATTCTGATCAAAGTAATCTCTTCCTAAAGCATTAAGAAAGTAATATATTTATATATTAGTCATTATGAAGATATTTTGTCTGATTTTTCCCCATTTTCTTATTGTTTACGTTTGCGTAAAGTATTCGAGCACCATGAAAACGTAAACACATTAAATTTTATCATAGTTGGATGAAAATAATTTAAAATTCTAATTTCTAACGTAGACCATCGCTTTAAATAGACATGTAACAGGCCAAGCTATCACGACACTTCACATACTGCAACGATAGCTAACACATCGCGAATCGATCTTGCTGCGCGATAATACGTATGCTAAGCCGCTGATGAAAAGTTTACCGTGTCGCTTTTGTTTGTCGACGAACAAGTGTTGAGTCAAGACGAGCGAGGCTGTCGTCAACATGGGAAGCAAACTTTGCTCTAAATTTCGTAAATTCAAGAAAAAAGTGTTTCTCAAAAAGGAAAAATATGATCGTCTTGAAGAAGCAGACAAACCAGAAGACTTTCCTCCAGAAATTTCAAGCGTCACCAAACCGTTAACTGAATCTAGCAGGCCAACTAAGAGGTCTATCGTCAAAAAAGAAAAAAACAATCAACGAGACGATAAAGAATTGATTAAAAAGGAAGAGACTCACGAACCATCGACTTTCGAAGACATTGAAAGCTCGATTGTAAATTTACTCGAACAATTGAAAAAGGTGTCCTCGGCGACTCGTACCGCAGACAAGGTCACCGAGAAGGCAGAAATTATCAATAATCTTGGCGCTGCTTATTATAAAATATGCGATTTTCAAATGTCCAAAAAGTATTACGAGATGTATTTGAAAAACTTAGGTAAGAATGCTTCTCCTTTTTTAATGCAAAGAGCACACTGTAATATTGGCTGTGTGTACCGGAGACTTGGCGACTTTGATCAGGCTGAGGAGCACTTTCAAGAGGGCTTGGAGATTTCCGAACAACTACAAGATATGAAATCCAAGGGAAGACTTTTGAATAACATGGGAAACATTTGTGAGATGAGAAAGGATTTTGAAGGAGCTATATATTATCATGCACAAAGAAGGAAAATAGCTGAAACAATGGGTGACTGGGAAACAGAAGCCAAAGCGTGTGCTAGTCTTGGCAACTCTTATCAAATCACTGGTAATCTTCGTGCTAGTATCGTGTTTTACGAGCGAGTCGTCATTTGGCTTAAACGAAAGTACAGTAAGTACATGTTATATTCTTGAATATTTTACTGACACAATGCATGAAGGTAATACAAACAAATCAGATTTGCCACTAGATATTGACTGCTTTTTCCCCTCATCGAAGCCCCGCAACAAGACTCACGGTGGGAATTAACCGTGACATTAAGCTCAATCGCTAAGCCAGCTACTATATAATAGAAATGAATAATTTCGAAAGAATATCCGCACCGTACACGCCAGGTACACTGATTACTTAATCGCAACCCCAATGTTCAATTCATTTGAACTGAGTTCAATAAAATAATATCAAAATGAATGACATCATCAAGCCAGGGTTTTTTCTTCTTCTCGCATATCGTCTACTCTTCAGTATTACATCATTTTAGAACTATTCGGCCTCGTATCGCGTTTGGTAAAAAAATGTTCTTTTGCCAAAGAAGCAAAGCTGTTAACATGATTGTAATGTAAATGGACAGATCTGCGTTAAATAACCATTGCCAGTGCTGTTTTTTGTTACCCTAGCAACGAAAAGTGCTAAGGAAATTTGCCTGAATGAAAAAATGAATAAAATACAGCTAAATGAAACATCTGGCAATGACTGATATCAGAAAATTTGTGTTTGGTTTGTTAAGGAATATCTATATATATATATATAAGTCATTAACATTACTTCTGTTACTTTTCCACAGTTTTTGAGCAGAAAGAAGGCAAAAGAAGATCTATCGTTTCCAGTTTTTCTCTTGAAGACGAGCAGTGGGTTTAAACCAGATATGTACCTAATGTATCTTCTGGGACAAGCGCTGAACACTAGCTCAGTTAAAACATTTAACGGATAATAAGAATATATATATATAAATATAAACGTAATAAAAGGCGTAATTTCTCCCCGCAAACTGGGTGCTTTCTTATTTTAGAGTGACCCGGGTGTCAGCAGTGGTTGCGTACTTGCCCGGTACATACTGACTTGATAAGAGTACGGCACCGTCAGGAAACTGATTGTCTATCAGTCGGTACTGAGCGAGGTATCTGAACTTTGAACAGTCTAACAGACTCGCGGCATCACAAGCACTGCCATCAGATCATTCTAGTTCCGAGAGCATGCGCTTTTGCCAGCCAGCGGAAGGCAAAAGGCAAAAAGGCGACAAAAGCGCATGCTCTAGGAACGAGAACGCAATCAGATCTGAACTCAGTTTTAGGTGTTTGATCCTAGTAGCTAGGGGCCAAGTGCCCTATTTTGTTTTCATCTCCCTTTGAGAAAATCTTTAGATAAATAAAATAAATAAATAAATGGTAACTGCGGGATTCATTCACTCATCAACTGTTCTGACAACTTTTGATCGGAGAAAGCTAGCTATGCCACTCATTATCGAGTCACTATTAGATTGGTGGACGACTTCACTTAAACCAAATACTCATAGTTTTAGGGAGGGGGATAATTGAGTTTAGGGGGGGGGGGGCTAATTGAGTTTCTTCCGTCAACACAACGGAAAACAATATAAAAAAGCATCGTTTTTTTCTTCTGAAGGGGAGCTTCAGCCCCCCTTTGCCCCCTCCCCCCCCCCGGATCCGCCCTTGTGCCTGCCCTGTGTCAGTCCGTATACAGACGTATTTCAGTGTTGAGGAAAGGATCCCGCTACAAGTGGTCAATCTCCGACGTCATGATCAGTACACTAGCAAACGCCAAATACACTGAAAAAAATCGGGTGCTCAGCTCAGAGTTAGCGAGGATTTAAGAGAGTTTTCGATCACCCTCCCTTTATCAGGTAAAAGTTGTAAAGCATCCGAGTATAGTGTACCTAGTCCATGGTTTAAATGGCGAGGAGTTGCTCCACCTACACTGGGTTGGACGCAAACTAAAAACTGCCGGGCTAAATACAACACATATATAGTGTCAATCAATCATGAACAGTGTTTCCTGTTCAATAGACCTCTCCTCTACCATAACTTCTTTTTCGGTTTTTGGTTGCACAGAAACTGAATATTAGGTAATAAATAGCCTGCGATGGACTTGGTAATGTTACAGCGGCTTTTATGATTCGCGCAAGCGTCGTCTTATAATTCATTACCATTCCTTCACGGTCATTCTTGTTTATTTCTTATCGATCGATTTTTACAGACGATTTTTCTTGCAGTTTTCGGTCTCGTTTTCTTTCCTATTTAAAAAACTTCAAAATGCTTGATATTGCTTTAGAGTCTGCTGGAGCTAAAATCGCTCAAGCATCTTCATACGATGAACGGTATCCCCCAGAAAATATTATTGATGGGTAAGAAAACATTATATAAAGTCTAGAAGATCACCATTTGTTTATATTTCCTTGGAAACGACATTGAAATATTTCAAACATATTTATTGTGATTTACACAGAACATTGGACACTTTGTGGCCTACTTCCGGCATGTTCCCTCAAGAATTTGTTATCAGCTTTCCATCACTCATGAGCATTGGAATGGTTAAGGTTATATGTTCAAATGGTAAGCATCATATATTATGGTATCAACTATCATTGCCAATAATGCATTTACATGTTATGTATTTTATATTTCTCTATAACGACTTCGGTAACTGGTAAACTTTTTCATGCAGTAAAGAATCTTCAAATCCAGAGGAGTATTAAATCAGAACCTATTGAGTTTGAAATGTTGGCTGAAAAAGGTAAAGTGCTAGAATGATATGGAATTGTCCAGTTTCTATTTTAAAATCTCTAATTGTTTGTGTATTTTGTATTAAAGAGCTGGAAAATTTAGAGGGACAGATGCAGTTAGAAGACATCAAGGTTCGTATCATTAGAATGTTGATTTTTTTATTAAAGATGTGTAACTATACTTTACAGGGCCATAGACAATATGAGATAAGCAAGGTAGTTGCCTTGTTAAAGTCTCAATGATGACCTTCAAAACTCTGGAAATCACATCTCTAAGGGTCTCAATCTTTTTTCTGTGGGTGCATGACCGCAACCCTCCTATTTGCTCGTGCCTTTGCCACTCGTTTGCCTTGGTAAACATTTATTTTAGGTCTGGCTATGGTCCTGCTATACTAGCATACACCTATTTCAAAAAACATTGTCATCACCAAAGGCGATAGGGGATAGGTCATTCAGACATGGTAATGGTTTCATTGAATACAAAGAACATCGATTCAGTCTCAACACTAAGGTCCATGTTCTTGATGAGAATAAGAAGCAGAAACACAAGTCATTCCAGCTATTCTTGGATCTTGGAATGACGTATCTCCTATTGCTTTTTACCTATTGCCTATTACCTTTTACGATGACAACCTCTTTTGAAATAGGTATATACATATCCTGTTCACCACCAAATTGACCAGAGCATGGCCCTAATGTTGCATACTGTTTTTATTGTTACAGGTACCTATTACTTCAACAACTCATGTGCGATTTGTTATCAAAAGTGGATATGATCATTTTGTTTCAATACATCGCATCAGTATTGATGGTACAGCAGTACAGTAACCAACATGTAAACACTAACCCATTCATGCAGTGTTTAGAGCCTAATGACTTGTAATATACAATAGATAACATTCCTCTGTATACATGTAATAGCATAGATGTAGCCTAACAAGTTATTATCACGAGAAGATTTCTGGTTAGAGCAAGAAAAACATTAATTTATTTATACACTGTGAATACAAATGACAGAGTGTTGTGTACTCCAAGGCATAAAAAGTCATCATGTTAATAAATGCCATCTATTTCATCAACCTTTGGTAACATTTGAACATGTTTTGTTGACTTTATAATATTGCATATTACACTGACCCCCTCCCCCAGGACAACCCAAACACTTGGGTACCCTGTGGAGCCCTGTGGTGGGTCTTTGTTCTCAAGTCAAAATGGCGGATGTAAGACTGAGAAAAGGAGGCCTTAAAAGTTCTCTTGAATCTAGTGAAGCCGAAAACAAAAGCTATAGAAATAAGGAAGAGCTCACAGTTAAAGAAAAGCGAGGTTATTCGTGGATATTTGTATCTACCTTGTGTTTTTACGGTGTAATATTAGGCATTTCCTACCTTGAGTCACGTTCTGTTCCTTCGCCCAAAAGACACGTCGACAGCCATATCGGAGAATTTTCCGAAGAAAGAGCTAGAGTTCATCTAGATGCCATTACCTCATTTGGCCCTCGTCCTACAGGAAGTGTAGCCAATGAAATTCATACAGTAAAGTACATCCTGGATCAAGTAGCAAACATAAAGTTGTCAGCCAAGAAATCTGTGGTTATTGAAGTAGACGTTCAAAAGCCGTCTGGTACTTTCTTTCTTGATTTTCTAGACGGATTTACAAGCCACTATTACAACATTACTAACATCGTGGTACGCGTTAGTCCTGTCAAGAATTCCCCTCCAGAACATTCAGTGTTAATCAATGCTCATTTTGATTCTGTTCCCAATTCCCCTGGTGCAAGTGATGATGCTGTCAGTTGTGCTACAATGCTGGAGATTTTAAGGGTGATGGCTCAATGTCCTGCAGCAAACCTTACACATGCTGTTATATTTCTGTTTAATGGAGCAGAAGAGAACGTTCTTCAGGCTAGTCATGGTTTTATTACGCAACATCCTTGGACAAAGAGCATTCGAGCATTCGTAAATTTAGAAGCTGCAGGAGCAGGTACTGTATTTTAAATGCATAATATACACAATGACCAATTTTCGGTTGCCTTAATTCAATCAGAAACATATTGAAACCTCTTTACCTAAGGAATTAAATAAAGTAATTGCTGATGTTATTTAAAGTCATATATATTTTTTGAAAAACATGACCTTGATCAAGTTTCAAGAATGATCGATAGTTTCATTTAAAGCTGAGAAGAGATGAGGTTGGTAGGTGATTAAAACAAATTTAGTCATGGAAATTTGATTATGTATTTCTTTGTGTTTGCTGCTAAATTCTAATTCAATGTGGCCTCAAAATGTTTAGTCATGTGCCTTTGGCTTGGCCTTCAGACACTGAACAATCACTTTCATGGGTAGCATGGGTGGCATTCGCAGCTAACGTGTCGTCTTTCACCGCTGTGAGTCCAACGGGTCGGGTCGCTGGTTCGAGCCCTGCAGTCGCCACATGTGAATTGAGTTTGTTTGATGTGTTGTTCTCTCCTATGCTACGAGGGTTTTCTCCGGGTTCTCCGGTTTCCTCCCTCCATAAAAATCAGCATGTGAGTTGAGCATTGCGTGCATAGAATATTAAATGTAGTGGTAGTGGGTGTGAGTGAAAAGTGTCCCCAATTAGTGCGAAAGCACTAGAACGACTAGACACTTAAATAAAAGTGATTTATTTATTTATTTATTTATTATTTCTTCATATTTGACATAAAATAAATTATGAAAAAATACATTAATTGTATCTGATGGAGATCTGATGGATATATTGATGCATTTTTGTTGTTCTTCCAAGGTGGTAAAGAAATAGTGTTTCAGACAGGACCAGAACATCCATGGCTGGTTAAAGCATATACAGAAGTTGCTCCATACCCTAGTGCTCAGGTGATTGGACAAGAGATCTTTCAAAATGGTCTTATTCCCAGTGATACAGACTTTAGGATCTTTAGAGATCATGGCAACATTCCAGGTATTGATATAGCATACCACACCAATGGCTATGTGTATCACACATATTATGACACCCCAGCGGCAATAACACCAGGTTCTATCCAGCGTGCAGGAGAGAATGTTCTAACTGTTGTCATGGAGATGGCTAATTCACCATTATTGACAGATCCTGGAGAGTACAGGCATGGTGCTATGGTTTTCTTTGATTTCATGGGCCTGTTTATGGTACACTATCCTGAGAGAATCGGTGTTATCATTAATGGCATTACTTTCATCTTTACTGTTGCTTTGATTGCAAAGAAAATGTTCATTTCAAGAAAGAAAGGAGAAGGCGGGATGCAAGGTACTTAATTCAAATCTTTTATCACTGTTGTATCAAATATAAAAAGGTTTTTCAGTTACTTTTGTTATCTTTGATTAAATTATTAAAGCATACAATATTATATTTTCATATCCCAGTGAACAGAATATCGATCACCAGTCTTTTGTCATCATTTGGTATACTACTGTTGTCTTGGGTAGCTGGTTTGACATTTCCCCTTACTGTAGCTGCTATTCTTACAACATCTGGACATTCTTTAACATGGTTTTGCAGGCCGTATCTGATAGCAGGTCTGTTTGTATCCCCTGTTCTACTGGGTATCGGCAGTGTTCATTGTCTGGTGAAACATGTCACTCTTCTCCCAAAGGTAAATAAAATAAATAACTTCATTCATTCATTTATTCATTCATTCAGAGATTTAAAAATAGGTCAAGTAACTACGTCTGTAGTTCCTTCAGCTACGAGGCTGATATCCCAGGAAGCTGACGGTGTGCACTGTACCCCCTCTCCATCAGTGCTCTGTTTTAAGAGTATTTAAAGCTGTGAATGCCAAACACTAACCAGCTGAGCTATGGCTGCTCCTATTGATGCATCCTACATTCATTCATTTGACTGGTGTTTATTTGATTATAGGAAAAGTCAAGTGGGGATAAGACTAATGCGTTAACACAATTATGGCAACAAGAGACAAATGTATTTTATTCATCTCTTATCATATGGACTGGCCTTTTAGGTGTTATGACGTATTACAACCTTGCTTCAGCCCATCTCCCTCTCCTATGGGTCATCTTCCCTCTTTGCATAAGAGTGTTTATCTGGGAAAACATGTTACGAAAGAACTCTTGTGGCACAGGAAACATTGTTCAGTTTCTAATAATGTATCTCAGCTCAGTGTTAGTTCCAGTATGTTTTACATCCTATTCATGTGTGACTGTGCTGGATCTTTTCATGCCAATCATGGGTCGTAGTGGTTCACAAACCATACCTGATGTATTCATTGCTGTTATTGTTGCTATCTTGGTTATTGTCTTGACATCTTATTTGGTAAGTGTACAATTGAGAGAAAATGTTATGTTGCTCACTTGGAAGGTTGCTGGGAAAGTGGGGAAAATCATGTGGCACCCTATTGTCCAATGAGAAGAGAGAGAAAATAGACTTTGGCACTTGGTGTATAACAAAATAATATTTTAGATCAGGAAATAAACTTAGGGTAGCTGCCTTCTAAATCTTTATATGTAAATTTGATAGTCAGGCCTCCGAGACCTCCTATATATCCTATATTTCCTATAATTTGTATAGGATCCTATAAAGAGCATTTGGAGAAGGTAATAAAATGGTGCTCCTTTTTTTTCATTCTGTTTTTTTTAATGGCTTTTTGGTTCTGCAAATCATGGCCTGTGCACCCTCCCTGCAAGATCTCTGGTTACGCCACTGAAAAGCTATTTTAGCTCCTATAAAGTGCATATATTCTTGGGGAAAAATCCTATATTTTCCTATATTTAGAACTTGTACAGCCTATATTTCCTATCGAATTTGTCTAAAAAGTAGCTGGGATGCCTGGATAGTAATAATTATCTTAATTTGATTGTGTTTTGTTGCTTCTTTCTCAGGTGAGTCTTCTGTACTTAATGCGCAACATGAACTGGGCTGGTTTGTTTCTTTGTGCTTTGACTTTCTTGTCTATTAGTATTTCACTCTCTGGCTTGGCTTTTCCTTACTCAGCAGAAAAACAATGTCCTAAAAGATTTTTTTACCAGGTAAAATCCAGATTCATCATACATACATTTTTTCCCCTTATTTCTCATCATCAAACTCCTCTATTTCCTCCATGCCATCTTCATTATTACCCTCCTCATCTTTCTCCATGTCACACGAAGCATGGGTGGCATAGTGGCGAGAGCGCATGCCTCTCATCAATGCAACTTAGGTTCAAGTCCTGTTTGGCTCAATGTTGTATGTGAGTAGAGTTGCATGTTGTTTCTCTCCTGTGCTTCAAATATCTTTTCTCCTGGTTCTCCAGTTTTACTCCCTCTGTAAAAATCAACTTCTAAATTCCAATTGGAATCCAGTGGAAGAAGAGCCACCCTGTGGAATCATTTGTTTAAATCCATTATCATTCCCATCATTTTTATTATCATTATCATAATCATCATAATCATATATCATCATCATCATCTTGTATAATGTATTATTATCATCATGTATCATCATCATTATTATTAATATGTCATCTTCCTCATCAGCACCCTCTTTCTTCATGTCATGTTCCTCATCGTCACCCTCCTCATTCTCCATGTCACCTTCCTCATCGTCAACCTCCTCATTCTCCATCTGGTCTTCCTCCACATTTCTCTTCTTTCCATTTGTCCTTTATCTGGATCACCGTCCTATAAATATATTATGAGAGAAGTTCATAATTTACTGCCAACCATATATCATAGCTGCCAGTATTGGCCATTAGCTCACCAAGAGTCTTCTGTAGTTCATTTGTAGAGCATCTGACTAGAATATGGAAGACAATGGGTTCAATTCCCATTAGGGACTTTTTTTGAGTTCCCTTACTGTTGCTGTGACATGATGAAAATAAAATATTGAAATTCCTCTTATTGTCTTAGCATATTGTGAGAACATTCCATGGGATGGATGGAAGTGTTGTCAAGAAAGACTCTGGTATCTGGTTGAACCCACTTGACTACAATGGTATTACTCACTTAAAGGACGTACCTCTGATCAAGCAGGCCAAACAAGTCATGACTGATGATGGTGTCTATCAAGGCTTTCCATATTATCTTCCAGCAAGAAATCTTTTCAAGTTAGTAAACTGTTGTTTTCAAACATATTCAGACATCTTTACATTATCTCTTTATGAGAGAAATACATTTTGTCATCAGAAAGTCATTCTACATTCCTGGTCCTCCGCCGGATGTCAGGTCTTTACTATGGGACTGTAAACTTTTATCAAGGACCCAGGAAGGGAGGACGTTTCGATTCACCTTCTTAATTAAAGGTACTTCATAGCTAGAATTATTTTATGGAGATTCTAATCAAATCATTACTTATGTTTTGGTTGTATGTTCTGCAGGACCTGATCACATGACTGTATACTTCTCAACTGCACAAGAGGTATATTTTCTATCTTCATCATTAGGACACTTGGAGTCTACTGATGACCCATCACATACTCATGGGACTACCTACTTTATATATTACTCGCATGGTACTCGAACTGTTCCTTGGGAATTTTGGGTTGAATTTCAGGTACGTTCAGTATTTATTTATCCCCAGACATAATGTCGTAAGTTTGTTATTTGTGTTTTGAGGTCCTTTGAATCTTTTCCCTATTTAAAACTGGCCAATTGGTTTCTTGACCTAAAGTAATAAGCCTTTTCATTGATGGAAAGCAACTAGCACACTATACAAGTAAGAAGTGATAATTTGGATGATTTTTTATTGTGTTTTCAGGTTGAGAGAGACCTCCCAAAGAATTCCCCCCTGATGGATCTAGCTGTAGCAGCACATTTCTTGAATGGAGAGCAGTCCAGGACCCCATTTTTGAACCAGCTAATCAAGGAAAGTCCTGATTGGGTCTTTGCTCATTCTTGGGTCAACGTTTATGAAAGCTGGTCCTTTGGTGTCTAGAAGGTCATTCTTCGTATTCATTACTTTAAAAAACCTTTTCCCAACTGTTAATAAAGCAAAATTATTTTTATATTTTACCATACATTAAAATATTTTGGGAAAAATACTAGACTAGTTTCTTGTTACAATTAAATGAGACAGCAAGAGTGTTACGTACAACCTTGTTTATTTATACTCAATACAATACACTTTGTACAATGGGAATTCTGAATGTTTTCTGAATCTTCATCTTTAATGGTGGTTTGTTTTGGTAAGATTAGGTAGAACTAACAGCACATACATACAAGAAAGACTGTGCATTGCAATAGTTTTTATAAACAAGAAGTGCAAAGGGCAACATATATTGCCTCCTTAAATGAAGAGTTATATACAGAGCAGCAAATTATGAGGGCTGTATATACAAAAAAGACTAAAATAATGTGCAGTTCCAAAAATTATCCATACCCTGCAGAGGAATTTACAGGTAGTACAGAGTGCTACAAATAATGTCCCTATACAGGTAGTACAGAGTGCTACAAATAATGTCCCTATACAGGTAGTACAGAG